TAAATTGTAAATATAAATGTGTTTTGTTTGAATACGAACATTGCCAAGTACAAATTAAAATATATTAAAATAAGTAAATATTAAATATCTAAGTTCAAAGTAATTTTATTTCAATAATACAACAAGTTAAATTGAAATTTGATTTCCTCGGATACACAAAAAATACAGAAAATACAATCACGAAAGACATCAAAGACATAAAAATAGATCAGAACAAGAGCAAACACAAGAATTTTTTTAAATCAGAAGAGATAGATCACATCAGAGTAAACAAAGTTAAAAATTTAACAGTAAAAAAAGACAACGTATATTCAATACGTTAAATTATTCAGTGTTAAAAAGATTCCCGGCAATAAAATTGGCTTTGCTGTTAAAAATTCTAATAATAGAGCTTGGTAACAAGGAAGTTCAATATCGTTCAACTCTTGTATTCGTTGATTGTACACGGCATCTGGACTGCTGATAATCATATTGTCTTAACATTACTTTTTTGATTTCATTAAACTAAAGCTTCAAGCTTATTATTTATGTTCATTATTTTTCAAGCCAGTTTAGTAACTCTCTTTAATTTATTCATGTCTTTGACTGTGAGGGTGCTGCTCCAAACAAAACTGGAAAATAAGATAACACTGAATATCTTGGACCTAAAAACATGTTAAGGACTTCATTGTTGACTTTAAATGTTAGTTATTATTATCATTATTGTAATGATAATAACTGTATTGTTGATATGACAGGAAAGCCGTGAAGGGCGCTCTCATACTCGTGCCGTTATTGGGAGTTACTTGGTTGTTTGGTATATTTGCGTTCAGCAAAGCAACGACGTTTTTTTCCTATATGTTCGTAATTTTCAACGGAAGTCAAGGACTTGCTATATTCCTGGTATGCATCGTGTTTAGTCCACAGGTATGTAATTGGTACCGTACCTTACGTTTTTACACATCAAAAATAATAACTTCGTCAATATAGCATTATCAATCAATTTAAACACGCATTGTTACTGGTACTGATGTAGTAGCCGTATACTCTTTGAAAGATGGCCGTCCTTGACGGGCTCCGTTGACAGAGTCACTGCTGGTGTTTAATTGAGATCGATTATTTATTATTATGCTTCACAGATGTATTCAGTTATATCTTTATTTAATTTAATATTTTTAATTTTTTTTTATTATTATTATTTTTTTTTTATTGATTAAAAGACTAACTTTCCGTAACTCTGGGTTGGACCCTAATAGATGCTCTTCCTCCTGGTCTGAAGAACTTTGCTTATACAGAACTATACCCATAAAAAATTCTCATATATTCTACCTTCAAAAATTTTAATTAAATATAGGCCTGCTCTTTGGAGTTACGATCTATTTCTGTCGTTACATTTAAATTATTTGTGGTCATAAACATTTTACTTAATACGAATTTCAGGTGCAGGATGAACTGAAGAAACAAAGGTGGATGGGACGTTTTTTGAAGGTCAACTCAGTTGGCAGTGAGCAGGTACAAAGTCAAGTAAGTCTGTGGATTCAGTGACATTATGACAGTCGTGTCGGGCACACTGTGCCTACGGTCGTCGGCCGACGCGATTCCTTGAAGAATGCAACGCGACGAGGCGCGAGCATGGGACCGTTTTTAATGACAATTCGCTCAATCTGCTTTCGGCAAACAACATTCGGCTCTTTCGTAAACGCCAACCCTGAGCCGCCGTACCAAATATTATGTAGTTCCTACGTATGCGCTAGAATTTTGCGTTGTCATAATGGGCTTGTGAAAAGGCCAAATTCCTCATCGTCAAGCGATCACAGAGAGCGGAGATTTGTCGTAGGTCGATTGTCATACGATGCAGTGCGTGCCAGACTTGGTTCATATTCAAACATCAAACGCTCTGCATGCGGCTTGACGCGATACAAAACGTGGCTATTCCACTGTTGTCTCATTCTCCCGAATCTCAATAACGTCAAACGTCGTAAGATATACATTCAGGTAATAAGAACCAAATACCTGCTCTAAAAAATCAACATTATTTAATTTATTTACAAATCAAATTTTAATTATTATTATTACTTATTAAAGTGACTTTTTTGAAAACGCCATAACGACAAACAATAGAATAAAACATCTGATAGTTGTTTTGTTATGTTGTAGTTATCTTTTACTCTATGATTTTCCTTTGGTTCAAAACAATTTATGCTATTTTGTAATAGTGTCATGTGACTTTTCCGTTTTTCACAGACTACATCATTTTGAAAATGTATCGGTTACTTCATGACTTCATGAATGCATACAGTTTGAAGAGGAAACTACGAAGAATGACACGTCAACTTCAATAACTTGAGTCGACACTAAACTCGAATCGGTATTAAACCATTTTAAAGTATGCTGTCAAAAAAAAAACACATCATATTGTAACACTGTTGGGACTTGATCAAATATTTACAAACTGTGAGGGACAATAATTATTATGGTGGACCCACTTTACTCGTAAATTCAAATAATGTGGACTCATTTTACGCACAAATATGAGAAATCTAGTCCATTTTCTTAAAATTTTACAAATTTTAAGCTAAATATGAGAAATCTGGACTAATTTTTAAAAAGTGGACTCCTTTTTCAAAAGGTGAACTTATTTTAGGCATGAAATTGCATCATTTGGACCCATTCTTTGTGGACCCATTGCTGCTACGGCATTGGACTTGATATAGGGCATTATATCGACGTCTCAATGAGTAAAAAATAGGGGTTGTGATTCAAAAAATTGGCAAAATGATACAAACCTATACAATTAATGATGACCAAGTATATTACTGTATGTCTAAGTACGAGTACGATTGAGCAGAAAAATCAAACATCATTGTTTATTGAACAGTACATTTAATATTTGAATTAGGCTTACTTTAAGGAAGTACAGTAATTAGATTTCAATAGAAAATTATAACAAGAAAGTATCTTTTTTGCATGCCGAGCACACAGTTTGAAAGATTGTTTGTAAAACCGGAGGGAGAGCATGTTACTTAGGCAGTGACGTTATTTTTATTGCTTTGTAGGCGGTTTAAGATTCGACATTTTTTTTTTTTTTAATTATTATTCACATTGTTCTTATTAAGCACCGGGACCCTTACATCTACGCAAATTTAATCCAGTGCATGTAGAGTGAATTCCTCTACACTGTATATACTTTTTTTGTTTCTTCTTTTAAACTGAATTTCGTAGAGTAATTTTATTAGGAGATAATGATTGGTCACCGTAGTTTATGAAATAACAGTCATAGGCCTATCTTTGTCTCAGTCTACTTGCGGTCTGATGCACCTACATCATTATATATATATATATATATAAGATTATAAAATACTAGGAGTGGATCTAATGGACACATGATATACATAATTTGTATATTCGATTTTAGATCTAAATTCTGTTTTACTATATCACAGTGAAATGTGGGAATGAATGCTAATAATAATAATAGTGTAGTTTTATATAGCGCACAAATCCATCTAATGTAAGATGCTGAGGGCGCTTAAAATGTGGACTAGTGACTCGATCAATGACTTTCTTCGCCCCTAAGGGTCCCTTCGTGTCTGTGCTACCCGGTAACCCGGTACCAGCAACTCTCGTCGTCCACCACAGGGGCTGTCTGTTCCCGCAAGAGTAGGGCGCCAGCGCTTCAGATAGGCCAATGTAAACACTGAAAGGTGTCTATGGGGAAAATATTTATTTTAAACGTAAATGAATATTTAGATGCACTCTAATTTATAATTTATCGTTTTGTACAATGTATTATTTGGGTCAGCATGACATTATATGATGAATAAATGTTTCATGGACTTATTCTAAGGAAGAAGATTTTATTTTACTATTGACTACGTCACACACCCACCACTGGATCAGCCCATGAGTACATGAAACAAGTTCTAAAATATGTGAGGCAAGCATTTGAACATTGTCTCGCATCACCGTTGCAGTTTTTAATATCAGTAAACTCAAAATATATAAAGAGTACTACAAACAAAACCACCAAATAACTGATCTCAATTAAACCGTGCAATAATGTTCGCCTCTGATGGAAGCCTACGTTTTAGTCGTTTTAGTCGGCAAACAGTTCATCTCATGAATACCTAGTCTACAGATACCAAGTGATGCTGACATACTATCTCATTTTAAGGTATAAACAAGACGGCACAGCAAAAATCGAACATTCCAAAAATTTTTCATCAAAAATACAAAGGTAGCAAAGTCACAAAAAACCACTACACCAAGAATGTATGAAAATCAAAACAATGAAAACAAACAAATAAAACCACAATATCAAAAAGACAGATCATGGACAGTCAGATTTGCACATGTTCAAAATAAAATTTAAATTTTCTGGTTAATCTTTGGTTGATTTAATCAAAATTCGGATTACATCGATTAGCACATACTCCCGAAAATATGTTCAGAATAATCATGATGAGTCATTTTTTTAACAGATACCATCTCCTTTTTTAATAATATAGTGATGAACAACTACAAAAATGTACATTACAATATTACTATTACTGTATAGCTTTACGCTAATATACATTCAAAAACCGATTTAATAGGGCCTATTGTACTTTAAAAAAAAAATTATATTGAAACAAATTCATCATAATAAAAAATACATCATAAAAGTTAAAGCACAAGGTAAGGGGATTTAATAGACCTATTCTACATTTGTACAAAAAAATATTCAAATTCATCTGGTTGTTAATTAAATAATTTTATTAGATAAATTGAATGTAAAATTATATTAAAATATTTAACAATCGGCAGACTTTTATTAGTACTATATTGATAATACGTTGGTTCATCATTGTATAAGCCAATCATTTGAACAAAAAAAAAACAATGAATTGTGTACATTTATGAAATGCTGAATCATTTTGAATCATGTTACAACCATTTCACCTTTCTAAATTAAAGAGACTTAATTACAAAATATAGGTCTAAAAGCTTAATTTAAAACGCAGAATACATTATAAAAGTTAAACCACACTGTAAGAGGGTTTAATAGTGCCTATTGTATTCTTACAACAAAAAAATAATTGATTCAAAGAAAATTGAATGTAAAATCAAATTAAAATATTTCATAATTGACAGGTTTTTATTAGTACCGGTAGTGATGATATTAAGGACAGTTAGTGATTTTGAATCATGTTACAACCATCTGACCTTTCTGAAGTGTCAGTCAAACCTAACAAATGATCAATCAGAATAGTGTCAGGAATAGGCCTATGGGCGTGATTAACAAACACATGCGTACTGTATGTTTTTAAACTGTCGTTTGTGGGACTATAGCAGCAATATCCAAGAGGCGAGGCTTAGCGGAAAGTCCATTGTCGAACCTTTCTATGACATATAGCAAATTGTATTTATGGGTGGAGCCTATCTTTTAACTACTATGCGTATTTCAAGAAACCGATATCTGATCGTCCGGAAGGCGCATGGAGAACAGCATTGAGTGATGTTTGCTTATTCAATATGTTAACAAACAATCGTTTTACTCTCTCGCTTCATCATTTACTGGTTTTTATTGTGGTGTTGTTTTTTATTGAAGGCTTGCAAGGTATAGATGCGATTTTAAACTTTTCGTTTTTCAACAGTGTTAAAATGTAATAAATAATAAATAATTGCTGTAGGATACAATTGTAAAAATGCTTACAGTTTATTAGGTATTATTCCTGGCATAAATGTAAAAAAAAATAGTTCATGAACCTGTTGTAAATACATAGAACTAGACTCTTGCCACATGCCAGGGGGATTGAAGATAGACGGATTAAGACTAAGGAAGAGGACCTATACCTGCATCCAACTAGGCATAGCAGTAGGCCTATATATATATATATATATATATATATATATAT